TCCCTGAGCGTCACAGCAAATCACCCAGGCGTGAGTGGCGAGTCCGAGCCGCCGAGGAGTCGAGGAGGAGCTCTATCCCTGCCTGCACCAGTTGGTCTGCACATGTATAGCCTGGAGGCTGGGCCTCCCCGCTGGCGGCACGCTACGAGCTTTGCCCCATGAAATGCTGTAAAGAGTGGTGTAGCTAGGTGCATCACTTGAGCGGCCGCACTCTGCTCGCTACCCCCCCTGCACAACTAAGCTCATCCCTGCTGCTAGGGGGGGGGGTCTGACCCCCCCAGCAGCAGAGCGCTCCTGCTGGGGGGGGGGTCCCGACCCCCCCAGCAGCAGAGCGCTCCTGCTGGGGGGGGGGGTCCCGACCCCCCCAGCAGCAGAGCGCACTGGACCCAGCTCTCCCGCCTCCTCGCCGCCGCCCCCCCCTCTCCGCCCTCGGTTCGTGTTTAAGCGGTACTCGTACGCTCGAGGCGGTTGTGTTCGCCGCGCCTTCGAGCCCAATACACCTCGCGAGAAAGCGCTGCGCGGTACTCGGCAGTGTCGCAGTGTCGAGCAACACTCGGTGTCAGAGCGTCGCGCCTCCATCAGTAGTCTCTCATCATCGAGTGATTGCTGGCCTGTGGCGTATGACCTCGCGCGGATATCACCAACGACGAGCATGCGAAGATAGGGAACAATATCTTGTACAGCCCGCTGTGCTCCCCGCTGTGCCACGGCGTACGATGGGCTGCGAGAGCCGTATCTTCCCTCCTTGAAGCAGAGGAGCCGCGAGGCACGAGAGGCGTAGAAGAGAGGCTGGCGTGCCCCGCACCTCCCGGTTGGCAGTAGGAGGGCCCGCCGGTGAGACCACTGATTTTGATGCCGACCATAAATTCTCGCCACTGGAACGCATGCTACTTACAGCTGCTGTCTGTACAGAGATGCCAGCACCCCCCACAGGCAGAGCGCTCCTGCTGGGGGGGGGGTCCGGACCCCCCCAGCAGCAGAGCGCTGCTGGGGGGGGGGGGTCCCGACCCCCCCAGCAGCAGAGCGCTGCTGCTGGGGGGGGGGGTCGGCCATGAGCTTAGTTGTGCAGGGGGGGTAGCGAGCAGAATGCGGCCGCTCCGTTTGAGCACTTGCCCTGCAGTCAGCTTGCTGGGGTCGGTGGTCCCGGCGGTGCGCTGCGCGGGGGGGGGGGGGGGGGCATTAGCCAATTACACATACCAGGTTTAGACCCAGAGTTTATCGTAAACAGGACTAATCCGGTTCGTGTTTACCAGTGGTCTAAACTCGTGCGAACTCCGAGCTTTCCTTTTTTCCGGCGGGGGGCGAGGGCGCTAGCTAAGGAGGAGGAGCGAGAGCCCGGGGAGGATTGGGCGCAAGAAACTTGGAGCACTTTGGAGTGCAGTCATTAACCGCACATCCAGGGCCAGGGAGCTAAGAAGCGCACCCAGCGGGCCGGATGATTGGCATCGGGTTGCGGGCAAGAGAGCCCTAGCCCCGGGGGTGCGCGTTCGCAGGGAAAGGGCCGTAAAGTAAACACGGGTCTCCGAGGGTTAGTCCGCGCTCCAGGTTTCCCCTAGCAGCGGAGCGCCCCCTCTACTCGGAGCTAATAAACACCAGACACGCACACGACGTACATCCTCACTCGACGTCACCCCTCGGGGCTTCTCCGTTCGGCCTCCCCCCCTCGGTCCGGAGGAGCCCTCCTATCCCCTCGGTCCTCCCTCCACTCGCTTTCCGCTGGTTGGGCAACGGATGCGGGGCCCGGCTCCCCCTCCTAGCCTTTTTCGGCCGCGGCCCCGCCGCCGTCTCGCCCGCTCTGCCTGCTCCTGTTGACTCCGCCTCCGGCGATCCCGTGCCCGACTCCTCGGGCGAGGGCGGCGGCATTGGATCGCCACGCCGCCCCTCCCCGGGAGGTTGGGCCAGCTCTCTTCGTTCGAGGAATCGCGCCCGCCCCCGCCGTCTCTCTAGCAAAATTCCTTTTTTTTATAGCTTTCCGTGACCGACGCGCTCGAGAAAGTCCCCCAAAAGCCCAACCTTGCGTTCGCGATAGTCTGCCGTCCGCGCCTGAACGCCGTGTTTTTTTGAAGTTCTCGTCGGTATACTGTGCATCATCTCCCACAGGAGATCGCCCGTCACATCCGGAGGGTAGTTCGCGCGATCAGGGCAAGCATCAAAGTCAGCGCCTCCACAAGGGCCCACTCCGCGCTTTACCACAGTCCGTACAAACCGCCTCTCCGCCAGAGAGGTCTGCCGCTGCTCATCAACATCGAGGCCCGAGGACGCAGGCTGTTTGCCATGAAGCCGCACGCGGCCGCGCACCACCCGCTGCACCCCGTACTCCTCTGCCTCCTCATCCGAATCAGGCAAGCGTTCCTCGGGGTCGTACTCGCCATCCTCCTCCTCTGGGCGGCCGGGTCCCCATCTGCTCGCCCCGCATCACGCACCTTATCTAGCACCTTCGCTCGCGCCGCCTCGCCGCGCCGCTCGAGAATGCTCGCAGCTGCCGACCCGATCTGCTGACCGGCGCCGGCATCTGGCTCGCAACGTCTGCGCCCTCCACCGGAATTCGTATGCAGCATAGGCACCGGGTCTGGCAGCACCGGCTCAACGCCGCGCCCCGCGGTCGGTGCAAGCAGGGAATGTTCCCGCTGCTGCTCTGCTGCAGCCTCGAGTCGCGGTGCGGCCTCCGCACTCTCGGCGTTCGCCTCTCGCCCTGCTGCAGCATCCGTTCGCCGAGCGCCGAGCGCCTCCTCAAAGCATGCGAGAATCTCGTCGCTCTGAAGGTCAGCCTCGAGCACGTCGTCGGCAGCGCGGTTGCTCGCCCGGCCGGTCGGCCCTCGAGACCTCACAGTGGCGGCCGCCTCTGACAGCGGCGGCAGCCTCCCAAGCTGCCCACGCATCATGCTGCGCTTCGCGGCAATCGCGTAACGGGAGGCTCGCTGGCTTTTTGTGGCTTTTTGGACGGCTTTTTTGGATTCTCCCGCCCTCCAAGCCGTAGGATTTTTTTTGCAACACGTTCCGACGTTCGGCTGACTCACGTCAGCCGGCACGAATGCCCTCGCCCTGTCACTTCGAGGACAGCGCCGGCACCTGCTTCCCCGCTCCCAGCCGTGGTGCCTGCGGCAGACCGGCCGCCGGCAGGCCCGCCTTTGTTCAGGGCGCCACGGTCACAGAGCTCTGCGAGAAGAACCCGCCGTACGGGTTTGGCCCGCTCTGCCGTGCTGCGGACAGCTCCTCTTCGCTGCGCATGCTGCGTGGCCTGAGAGATCCAGCGCGTTGCTTCTACCGCTCGTGTGCGGTAGTCGGCGCGAGCGGCAACCTGCTCGGGTCGCGCTACGGTGCGGAGATCGACTCTCACGACGCGGTGGTGCGCATCAACCTGGCGCCCGACGGCCCGATGACCGCGCGCAGCAAGGCAGCACCGCATCGCCACGAGCCAACCTGGATCTCGGACGTCGGCACCGACCATCCTCCGCCCATCGCCGCCCGCACCCCGCGTGGTTGTTCCACGCGCGCGGCCCGCCCGCAGGCGCGCGGACGACGTGGCGCGTGCTCACGATGGAGGGGTACGGCTACCTGACGCACTACTCCCGCTTCTGGCTCGCGCCGCCGCACGGCCACGGCAGTCACCCAAACATGAGCGGCGTGCCGCAGGCGCTGCTCGCGCCCTGCCGCCACGCCCAGACCGGCCAGCATCCACAGCGCTCTCCTTCTCCACCGGGCGTCGTGGAGGAGTAGGAGCCGCTGCTCGCCGTCGTCTGCCACGAGCCGGGGCGCAACATGGGCCGCTGCCGCGCCGAGCGGCTGGCTCACACGTTTGCCCACTCCGAGTCCGCCTCCTACCTCATCAACCCCGGTGCCGAATCCGCACCACCCGCCCTAACGTCCCGCCGCCCGTGCCCCGCTGCGCCACCCCCCTCCCTTCTGGCACCGCCTTCCTCCTCCTCTCACGGAGCGCCCCTCCCGGCCCAGGCCTGCTCGGCGAGATTGCGAGCGACGAGTTTCGCGGCGTCCGCGGCCAAAAGACGCCGTCGACCGGCATGGTTGCCATCGCTCTGGCCCGCAAGATGTGCGGAGCGGTCCACCTCTACGGGTTTGGCAACGGCGCGGGCGGCGGCGCGGGCCGAGGCCCGGCTCGCACCCCACCCCTCCCACCCCCCTCCCCTCCCTCCGCCCGCCCTCAGGCTCGTGTGGCTCCTCCTGCTACCACTTTTACGAGTGCACGGCCTCGGGCTCCAACCCGAGCCAAGACCACTTCCTCAATGTCAGCTAACCCTAACCCTAACCCAACCCGAGCCAAGACCACTTCCTCAATGTCAGCCGCCGCCCACGCCCGCAGCACCTGCGCGCACCATCGCGCAACGCCTGCACCCCGCCCCTCGCGCACCGCCGCGCACTCGCACCGCACGGCGCGCCCTCCGCGCACCGCCACCGACCCGCCGCCGAGCGGTTCCGTCCCGTCTGCAGGAGAGCGGCGCTTCGGGCGGCTACCACAACTTCTCGGCGCAGGCAGTCGTCTTGCGGCGGATGGCACAGCGCGGCAAACGGCCGTAGAAGCGACAGAAGCGAGAGAGGCCCAGTCGGCATCCAGTCGGGGTCGAGCAGCGCGCGCCACTTTGCCGCGCTGCGACCCAGTCTGCTTGCCTCGCCTTTCCCTCCCCCTCGAGCTCGTCCCGCCCCGCCCCCGCCCCCCGCCGCAGGCGACGTCGTTCCTCACTGGGGCTCTTGCGGCCTGAATTATGGCGGCGCGCCGGCGGCGTTTGTCAACTCTCCCAGCAAGGGTCGTCGAGGGCGCTTGCGTGGCCGTGGCCATGGCCGCGGCCGTGGGCGCGGGCGGCCAGGCGGCGGCGCAGAGGGTCGACTGGGCAAGGCGCTGGGGAGCAGCGGGCACAAGGTCGCCACTCTTGCGTAGCCAACTTGCCACGAGGGAGGCGCTGGTGAGATTCGACGGTTGAGTCATAGGCGACCGACGAAGAGGTGGAGGTGGTCGACGGGAGAAAGCCAGCAGACGGGGAGGCAGGGCAGTGGTAGAAAGCTGTGGTGCTGGCACGAATCGATCTCGTCTCCGTATTGGCTAATGAGTGTCTTAGACTTGTGTGCGCTCATGGAGTGTGTGTGAGCGAAGTGGTTGTTGTGTGGTGTGTTCAACAGCCAACACAGGCACGGCCGAAAGATTTTGTGTCTGCGACACTGGTCACTGCGAGAGGCACACACTTCTTTCGGATCATGCGTGGCTCTTTGATCCGCGCCCGCCGCCCCCACACGCCGCCGGGGACGAGATGAATCTAGAGTACGAAGTGTCTCTTGCCCTGCCAGAACCTACCTTATAGAGGGAGCGGACCGTGAGTTGAGGAAATCGAGGGACGCGACCCACTTCGCCACAGATGGTCCCGCGCCTCGCCGCTATGACGGGCACACGCCCCGCACCGTCCGCTGTGTGCCCGTCTTTGTCCGGAGTGAAAAGTCCAACGCGCTCGTCGGTGGGGCGGCTTCCCTCAACCTGCGCCGCGCTCGGCAAACCTCGACAGCGCTTTCGGTGGCATGCAGCTCTTTGCGACAGAAGCCTGGAGAGCAGCTCCTCTGCTGCTCACACACTCTGCACAGTTGACACAGCCTACTGTGCGGCTGCCACAGCTGTGACAGCGATGGGCTCGCCCTCACTGGCCCTCAGTCACTTGTGCTGCGGCTTGTGTGAGCGACACTGCTCGGCGACTGCCGGCACACTGTGAGACCATGGGTGTGAGGTTAAACCACGCTACCAGCGCTTGGTCACATCGGCCCCGAGATCAGATCCTTCTACTCTGTTGATGACAAGACTTGTCTACTGGCTAAAGCCGAGCAGGAGGGCCCAGCGCATAACCCTTGGTCAACTCAGGGTCCACACCCCGTAACCTGAGTCTCTCTCTTTCTCTCTCTCTCTCTCTCTCTCTCTCTCTCTCTCTCTCTCTCTCTCTCTCTCTCTCTCTCTCTCTGACAGAGCACGTAGCATATAGGCAAAGGCCAAAGCACCCCGGAGCCGGAGCTCTAAACTGTCGATGTACAGCCCGCAGGGGAGGGCGAGCCTTTCCCTTTGCTAAAGCCCATGACGCTTTTGAGAGCGCGCGCCTGAGATCGCCTGCAGGCGCGCGCGGCGGGGCGGGAGCGAGGTGTGCTCGCTCTACACCCCCCTGTGACCGTCTTTTGTAGCCTTTGGAGAAAATGTGTAATAGAAGTATGTGTACACATAAAGCCGTAAGCACCCGCGACTCTGGTTTCTGCGAGGGCCGAGGCGTCGCTCGAGACCGGGGGAGTGAAAGGGTAAGCCGCTGCCGGCGGGTGCCGCGCCGGCGGCGACGGCCGACGGTGGCGGGTGGCGCAAGCGCCGCGCTCTTCAGCATGCGTTCGCCTCTTCCCACTCCCGGATCATCCGGCGCAGCGTGTGGTTGGGGGCGAGGAAGGTGTGCACGAGCGCCTCGCCCGTCATCGGGCTCGTCGACTTGGTCGCGAGCCAGCGCTCGATCGCCGACCGCTCGTACGAATGCCCGTCCGCCGCCATCACCGGGTCACTCATGAGCTCGGTCGTGATCGGGCAGATGAAGTCGGCCGGCGGCTCCTCCCTCGGAGCCGGCGCCTCTGCAGCCGAGGACGGCCCTTGCGCCTCCGCCGCCCGCCTCCCCTCCTCCAGCCTCGCGCTCTCCTCGAGCGCCGCCGCAAGCTCCGCCTCCGCCGCCGCCGCCACCGCCTCCTCCGCCGCCTCCTCTTCCGCCGCCTCGGGCTCTTGCGACGGCCCAGCGCCTCCCCCGCCGCCCTTCTTCTTCTTCTTGCCCCTCTTCTTGGCCGTCTTCTTCTCCTCAGGGCACTTCCCCGCCTCCTCCTCCGCCAGCAGCGCCGCCGCAGTCTCCTCGGCCGCCCTCTCTGCCGCCGCCCTCTCGGCCACTGCCCTCGCCACCTTCGCCTCAATCTCCGCTCTCTTCGCCTCCCTCGCCGCCGCCTCGCGCCGCTCCGCTTCCTCGGAGAAGATCTTGACACACTCGGCGTGGCCCTCCTCCTTGGCCCACTGCCACGCCGTACGCCCGCCCGAGGTGCGCGCCGCTGTTTCTGCGCCCGCCCGCAGCAGGCAGCGCACGACGGCGGGGTGGCCCTCCTGGCACGCAACGTGCAGGGGCCTGAAGCCGCGGCCCGCAGCTTGGTTGATCGCCGCACTGGCCTCGAGGAGCAGCTGAACGATCTCGAGGTGGCCCTTCTGGCACGCGATGAACAGCGGCGTGGCGCCACTGTCCTTGGCTTGGTCGACCGCCGCGCTGGCGCCGAGGAGCAGCCGGGCGCACTCGAGGCCGCCCTTCTGGCACGCGATGAACAGCGGCGTGGCTCCGTTGGCGTTGGCTTGTCCGACCGCCGCGCCAGCAGCGAGAAGCAGCCGGGCGATGTCGACGTGGCCCTCTTGGCACGCCATGAACAGCGGCGTGGCGCCGTCCTGCATGGCTTGGTTGACCGCCGCGCTGGCAGCGAGGAGCAGCCGCACGCACTCGAGCTGGCCCTCTTGGCACGCGACGAACAGCGGCGTGAAGCCGTCAGTGTCTGCTTGGTTCACCGCCGCGCTGGCAGCGAGGAGCAGCCGCGCGATCTCGGGGTGGCCCTTCTCGCACGCGATGTGCAGCGGCGTGGTGCCGGTATTCATGGCTTGGCTCACCGCCGCGCCAGCCTCGAGGAGCAGCCTGGTGCACTCGAGCTGGCCCTCCTCGCACGCGATGAGCAGCGGCGTGGCGCCGTCATCCTTGGCTTGGTTGACCGCCGCGTCAGCCTCGAGGAGCAGCCGGGCGCACTCGACCTTGTCCTCCTGGCACGCCATGTACAGCGGCGAGAAGCCACGGCCCGTCGTCGCCCCCACGCTCGCGCCGCTCTCGAGCAGCAGCCGCACCGCCTCGGCCTGCCCGTAGTAAGCGGCGTAGGTCAGCAGCGTGAAGAGGTTCTCGGCCTCGAGCCGCGCGTCGAGCAGGGCCGTGAGCGCCGCGCCGCGCGTCCGCCCGGAGAGGAGGGCGCGCAGCGAGGTCAGGTTGCCCTGGCGCAGGTCGGCGAGCACGAACGGGCTGATGGCGCCGCTCATGGCGGCGGCGACATCTTCTGGTGCTCCGCCCTGCGCAACAGCGGTCGGGCATCCGTGACGGCCTACTTTTCTTTTCTTTTGAGGCCATCGTAGGTTTGTCTTGTACGTGTGTGTCGGGGGTGTGTCAGAAGTGTCAGTGAGGGGCAGCGGAGGGCGGGGGCGCACAAGGCCGGAGGCTCAACCATTCGTCGGCTCGTCAGGGTTGGAGAAGGGGGAGGGAAGTCTGGGCGTTCGGCGAGGGGGTCAGAGCCAACAGTGCGTACGGGGTAGCCACCACTTTCCTGCCTCACAAGGGCGGGGCTGTCCCGGAAAGTGAGAAACGCCGGGCAGCGTGGTGCAGCTCGGGCGAGGCGGGGGGGGCGCGGGTGCGGGGTGCGGTGCGGTGCGAGTGTGTGCATGTCATATGGCTACAGCAAGTGTCCATCCGTCTGTATTATTATTAACAACGAAGGCGCTCTCAAAAGAAAGAAGAATTTTACAAGCAAGAAAAAATGGTTCCTAGTTCCGAGACGGTCAAACCTGAGGGATCTGACCGCGTTATGACTCTTGAGATATCTACCACACGTCTAACCGCTCCTTTCTAGACCGCGTACGTTATTGTTTAATGTCCGCTGCCTGGTGCCCCACCATCTCACACTCCCATAGTCCAGCGGCTGTGCGCTTTCCCCTTCCAGCGACGCGGACTTTCCGGTGATTGCATGGTAGCTGCTCGCGCACGCCCTCGACGGCGGAACACAAGGAGGAGCGCGAGGAGGGAGGAGAGGGCGACAACAATTGCCGCGATCCACCGAAGCGAGGCTGCGCTGGAGGGCGTCGTCGAACTGATCTGCAGTGCAAGTGTTGCAGCCTCTGCAGCCTCGTCTCGCAGGGTGTGCATCATGCGCGTGACAGGGTTCGGCGGAGACTCCGTGTCCAGGAGGGCGCGCTGCCTGCGGGTGATCGATGTGGGGTCATCGGGTGGCGGGCTCGGCGGTGGCGGCGAGGGCGGCGGCGGCGAGGGCACGGGCGGCGCTGGTGGTGGTGGCGAGGGGGGCGGTCGCATTGGCGGTGGTGGAGCAGGCGGCGGCGGCGACGGTGGCGGCGGCATGGGCGGCGGCGGGCTTGGCGGCGGAGGGCCCGGCGGTGGTGGACTCGGCGGCGGTAAGCTCGGGGGCGGCGGCGAAGGTGGCGGCGGCATGGGTGGCGGCGCCGACGGCGGCGGCGGCGAGGGCGGCGGAGGGCTCGGCGGCGGAGGGCTCGGCGGTGGAGGTATTGGCGGTGGAGGGCTCGGTGGCGGAGGGCTGGGTGGGGGAGGGCTTGGTGGCGGCGGCAATGGCGGAGGTGGCGAGGGCGGTGGCGGCGAGGGTGGCGGCGGCGATGGCGGCGGCGGCGAGGGTGAGGGGGGTGGGGGTGAGGGTGGCGGCCGGCTGTGAGGAGACGGCTCGGGGGAATGCG